TCACTTCCTCCTCGTCCTCTGTATCCTTCTGATGACATAATTTCAAGGCACACTTGCCATTTTCGGTAGTATTTACATTGTACCTTCGTACCTGGTAGTGAAAGGAGCCATGCGAACACCTAAAGCTAGAAGTCAGCGACTTTGAGGCGACAAACCGTCCCTTTGATTTGAGATCCAGTGCCACTTCTGGGAGTCTTTCTACGGTCATCCTCTGTCTGCATTCTTGACAGCAGCATATGTATACACCTAGGTACAGTGTTCCAGGGCATTAACTTGAAAAAATATGACTTTTATGGTCAAAATTACACCGTAGGATAGAGGAAGATTGCTGCTTGGCTGCATTACCCGAGGGCAATTGACAAAATTAACGGGAAGGCCTACATTGGTATGCAATTAGTACGGACTTCACTCGGTTTGACCACTTCCTGTTGCTCTCTCTTCTCAATCGCCTCCAGCTAAACGAATGAATTTTTCATCACGACTACAGGCCTTATAAAGGAAGTCAGTAGTTGGCTTAGTCGGATCTCACCGAAAAGAGTGATGAGGTGCCTGTGCTGTTGCGATTTACCAGGCCTTTCCACTTGCATTTCTGCCACTACTACGTGCAGATAATAGGGCGGGATTTCGTCCAAATCTACCAAGTCCTAGCTTACATGTCTTCTTCGAATTTTGTAACTCCGCAGGCCTGTGTGCCTCCAATAATGTATTTGGAATGTTCTTTATCCCTTGGGCTAGAAGTTTCTGCCACGTCTCTGTCCGAATCTCTGATCCATTGGTGACAAATGAACTGCATTTAAACAAATTACTAAATCCACTTCGATTAAATCTTCCTTTTTTCCGTATATTCAAAATAGCTATGTGGACGGCACCTACTTTGATTGGAGCTCCGATAATGTGAATAACGAGGCGTCCATGCAGTGGCCGTCGCAATGGCCACGAAGTAGCGAGGAGTTGTCCCTCAATCGGATGTCCACTCGCAATGAACAGGTGGTACGTCACTCTC